CTATGAGTCGGAATCGACTGGACAGCACCCAACCACCACCACAACCACCTTTGAGACAATGTGACGAGAAGGGCATTTCACCTTTGTGATTTTCCTCCCAAAACACAGGGGCTGACTCAGCACTGAAGACACTCCCGAAGCTCACTTTTCAGACAAAGATTAGACAGGCCTGGAAAACAAACTGGGGGCGCAGTGGTTACGAGCTCGGCTGCTCACCAAAAGGTCGGTAATTCAAATCCACCAGCCGCTCCTTGGAAACCCTATGGGGCGGTTCTACTCTGTCCTACAGGGTTGCTAGGAGTCGAAATCGACTCAACAGCAACAGGTATAAAACAAACAATAACACACATCAGGACCGTGCTTCTTAGTTCAATAAAGTATTTGAGACCCAACGGGCAACACCTGCCCAAAAGCAAAGACGAGAAGGCAGGAAGGGACAGGAAACCTGGACGAATGGACACGGGGAACCCGGGGTGGAAAGGGAAAGCGGGAGAGCACTGACACATTGCGGAGGTTGCAACTAACGTCACAAAACAATTTGTGTATACATTTTTGAATGAGAAACTAATTTGTGGTGTAGACTTTCACCTAAAGCACAATAAATTTTTTTTTTTAAATAAATAACTTGTTTAAAAAGCCCTAAAAGAAATAAATAAACACTTAGGCCTGGTCTAACCGTGACAAATACATCAGACAAATCCTGCAAGAAAGATCATCCTACAAAACACCTGCCCGGCATTTCTGAAAACCAGCAAGAGGGTTAACAACAAGGAAGTCTGAGAAACTGTCACAGCCCAGAGGAACCCAAGAAGACGTGGAGACAACGTGATGTGCGCTTCTGCAGAGGATCCTGGAACAGGGGAAACTAGCAAAATCCGAACCATTGGCATGGAGTTTAGGTTTTTATTTATTTGTTTTTTATAAGAGAGTGGGAGAAGAACTCGACAGATGCGCCAGCCTGAGGGAAGGTTTCCACCATAGGGGATTCGTTCTATTTTGTGTATGGCTGAAACTAGCGTAACCCTGGTGGCTCAACAGCTAAGCACTCGGCTGCTAACCAAAAAGTTGGCAGTTCGAACCCACCAGCCACTCTGTGGGAGAAAGATGTGGCAGTCTGCTTCTGTCAAGATTTACAGCCTTGGAAACCGTATGGGGGCAGTTCTACTCTGTCCTGTAGGGTCGCTATGAATCGAAATCGACTCGACAGCAACAGGGTTTACGGGTTCTCTTTGGTTTTTGTTCTCCTGTAATCTTTATAGTAGACACTGCCAGGGCTTTCTTCCATGTTGCCCCTGAGTGGGTTCAAACCGCCAGCCTCTCGGTTAGGGTTGTTGTGAGGTGCTGTCGAGTCAATTCCGACTCATGGCGACCCCATGTGTTACAAAGCAGAACTGTGCTCCATTGGGTTTTCTTGGCTGTAATCTTTATGGAAGTACATCACCAGGCCTCTCTTCCTCAGCACCCCAGGGTAGATTTGAACTGCCAACCTTTCAGTTAGCAGCCAAGCACTTAGCTGCTGTACCACCAGGGCAACCAACAAGAACAGCAATGTGTCTTCACTCGGTTTATGCCTGATGAACCCATTACACAAGCACAGTAAGCAATCTAACTTTGGAGTTCACTTACGGAGCTGAGAGATCAGAGAAAGGTCACTCCCAGCTTAAGTGTCCAACAGCTCCCACTGCTGAGAAAGGCACAGAAACGACAGTCGCCTGAAGGCAGAAGAACTCCTACAGCCTCCCGCACTTTCTTATGTGCACCTGGTACCCGGAACCACTGATTTGATGCAAATGGTTAACAAGCATAGCTGCTCAGTGAAAGTGTAGAAGTTCAAGTCCACCTAGAGGTGCCTCAGAAGAAAGGTCTGGTGATCTACTTCTGAAAAATCAGCCATTGAAAGCACTATGGAGCACATTTCTGCTCTGACACACATGGGGTCACCATGAGTCGGGGTTGACTCAACAGAAACTGGTTTATATAATAGAATAGATACATGGATCAACAGATGGTAGATTTGATACATAGATAGATAGATGACAGATAGGTGGATGATAGATAGATGATTGATAGATGATAGGTAGGTATGTGGGTGGGTGAGTGGATGGGTGGGTAGGTAGACAGACAGACACAGAGATGGTAGACAGATAGACAGACGGATAGATGATAGGTAGGTAGATAGGTAGATAGATATGATAGACAGGTAGATAGGTAGATAGACAGACACATAGATAGGTAGATGATAGATAGATAGATAGGTGGATGATAGATAGATTAGATAGATAGGTAGATAGGTAGATAGACAGACAGATGGACAGATAGGTAAATGATAGATAGACAGATAGATAGATAGATAGATGGAGAGACAGACAGACAGATAGATAAAGAAGTTGCCATGCATCTAAAGGAGTCCCTGGGCGGTGCAAACAGTTAATGAGCTTGGCTGCCAATCGAAAAGTTAGAGGTTTGATTCCACTCAGAGGTGCCTCAGAAGAAAGGTCTGGCAATCTACTTCCAAAAACTCAGCCACTGAAACCCCGTGGAACGCAGCTCCACCTCCAGCCTTCCTCTGACACACAGCAGGTCACCACGAGTCGGAATCGACTTGACGGCAATCAGTTTGTTTTTACCTGTTCTGAAACAGAGACACGGTCGGCCGGAGAATCACCAAGTGCCATTCTGTCTGCTAGGAAAGGCGCAGAGTACGGGAGAATGCAGGCCCCAGAACAGGTCAGCCGGCTCTGACGGGAAGCGGCCTCTCTTTATAGCACGCTGGGCCACATAAAACGCTGAGTGCCGAGGCACGGGCCTGGGGTACCATTCTATCGCAGAAGGATACTTAATTCTTAAACATAATTCCTCTCGTGAAAGACAATCCCGCCTCCTTGTTGCGCACCCTGGGAACCCTGGAAATGAGGGAAGAAAGCAAAGAAGAAAAAGAACCCCCCAGCCAGGGTAAAGCCCCAAGCCCCCAAGCTCTTTTATCAACCGTGAGATTATAGTTGACAGGCGGCAGTATTATCTCAGGCCCTCAGCGACCTGCCCACAGAAAACACAGACTGCGCGAAGCAAACACTGCAGTCACGTCTGCTCAAGGCAGCCTGTGGATTTCTGGAAATCCCTCTGCTTTGCAGAATCATGCAGCAGTAAACCACAGGACCTATGGGGAAAACAGAAGCAAAAAACTCAACACACAAAAACATCGTCACTCACAGACTAGAGAAGCCCTGAGAGTCTGGCCCCCGGACACCCTTTTAGCTCAGTCCTGAAGTCACTCCCGAGGTTCACCATTCAGCCAAAGATGAGACAGGCCCATAAAACAAAACGAGACTATAAGGGGCACAGCAGCCCAGGAGCAAGGATGAGAAGGCAGGAGGGGACAGGAAAGTGGTAATTGGGAACCCAAGGTCAAGAAGAGGAAAGTGTTGACATGTCGTGGGGTTGGCAACCAATGTCACAAAACAATATCTGTATTAATTGTTTAATGAGAAACTAATTTGCTCTGTAAAACTTCATTTAAAGCCCAATTAAAAAAATTCCCTGCAAAAATTTCTACATACACAGTTCAGACATTCACTGAACTGTGTATGTAGAAATTTTTGAAACGGTGTATCTTTGGCTGTGTGTATTTTCACCAAAAAAAAAAAAAAAAGGTTGAGAATTTAGAGGGTTAATAAGTTGTGGGGTTGTTAACCAATGTCATAAAACAACGTGTACTACTGTTTCATGAGAAACTATTTGTTCTGTAAGCCTTCACCTGAAGTACAATAAAATATATAAAAAAAAAAATTCCCTGCATCAACCGCGTCGGAACAAATCTGCATTATTGAAATGAGAGATCTATAAGAACCAGCTGTACAGAACCCCACATTCAAGGTATTGATTATTAAAATTGTCTCATGCCTTGTTCAAAACAGACTTCTGCGTCTACTTCTCCTAGGAGAAAACTTGACTCCAAACTGCCCTCCATCTGTTTCATCTGCATTTGTTCTGCACACGTTCACCTGTACTCTGCTGTTCCCCTACCCAGTCTTTTGCCTTTTGTTCTCTTGAACTTTTATTATTATTATTATTATTACTGTTTTTAAATATGGAACGCTTCACGAACTTGCGTGTCAGCCTGGGGCAGGGCCATGCTAATCTTCTCCGTAGCCCTTCCAGTTTTAGTCCCCGTGCAGCCGACGCCAGCACTTTCTCGGACTTTTAGCTGACGGCACACGATGTCCGTTTTGCTGTAATCCTTTTCCAAGTTGCTGCCGAGCTGACTGTGTCCATGGACACTCTGCGTCAGAGTAGAACAGTATTCCATAGGATTTTTCTGAAGCAGATTGCCAGGCCTTACTCCTGAGATGCCTCTGGGCGGACTCGAACATCCTACCTTTTGTGTAGTAGCCGAGACAGCTGACCACGTGCACCGCCCAGGGACTCCAAAACCAAACCAGTTTTTGCTGAGTCCACGCCAGCTCAGGGCAACCTCATGGACATTCTAAAATATGCAGACAATAAACCAAAAAAAAAAAAAAACACCCCGAACAGTTGCTCTTAAGTCGACACTGACTCATGGCGCCCCCATGTGTGTCAGAGTAGAACTGCGCGCCGTAGGGTTTTCAATGGCTGATTTTTGGGAAGCTGATTGCCAGGCCTTTCTTCCGAGGCACCTCTGGGTGGATCTAAACCTCCAGCCTTTCGGTTAGCAGCCCAGCGCTTAACACTTTGCACCACCCAGGATTCATATTGTGTTCGGAGCATTAGTAGCTGGCAGATGATTTCAAGAGCTCCCAGCCGTCCGCCTTTCACTAACTGAGTCAGTCCGTTCCTGAAAAAATCCCACTCGCGGTCACGCCATGTCGCAGGTGTCTGTAACTGTCTTCATGCGAACACCACTCTGCGCAGCTATGCTTAGACATCTCACAAAACACAGACAGGCAGAGGTAAGATGGAAGGGAAGTTGCATCCGGTCAAACGGTCAGAGCAAAACCAAACCAAACCGGTTGCAGTCGAGTCGATTCCGACTCATAGCCACCCTATAGGACAGAGTAGAACTGCCCCAGAGGGTTTCCAAGGAGTAGCTAGCCGGTGGATTCCAACTGCAAACCTTTTGGTTAGCAGCTGAGCCGTTAATCCCTGCGCCACCAGGGCTCCCAAAGAGAGCCAGGCAAAGTGATCCCTGGTGGCCTGGCCTTCACAGCCCTAGGGACACTCATCAGCCCTGTAACTGGGCTCAGTTCCCAAGGAGGCAGAGGAAACCATATCGGCGCTCCCCCACCCACCCCGGGGCTTGTGAAAATCACGTCAAATAACCTTAAAATGAAGGAGCCCTGGTGGTGCAAAGGTGCAGCACTCGGCTGCTAACCAAAAGGTTGGCGGTTCGAACCCACCCAACTGCTCCACAGGAGAAGACCTGGCAATCTGCTCTCATAAAGCTTACAGCCTAGGAAACCCTATGGGGCAGTTCCACTCTGTCGCATGGGGTCACCATGAGTCAGAGTCAGGTCCACAGCACCCCACAACAACATTCTTAAATTCACACTGGTGGTTCTGTGGAAGAATTCTCGCCTTCCATGCAGGAGACCCGAGTTCGAGTCCTCGCCAGTGCACCTCATGCACAGCCACCACCCGTCTGTGGAGGCTTGCGTGTTTCTGTGATGCTGGACAGGTTTCGGTGGAGCTTCCAGACTAAGACAGACTAGGAAGAAAGGCCTGGTGATCGACTTCCAAAAAACCAGCCAGGGAAAACCCTGTAGATCACAATGGTCTGATCCACAACCGATGACGGGGATGGTGCAGGACGGGGCAGCTCTTTGTTCCATTGTGCATGGGCTCACTCAGTCAGTGCTCACCCCTAAGAACCCACCTGGCAGCTGTGTGGCGGGCGTTTACCAGGCAAGCTGCACCAGAACTTGTCCGCCCACCGAGTGTGTACCTGCCGCTCCAGGAGGCGGCCCCCCGATCCGAAGGCTCCTGCTTGCTTCCCGCTATTTCTGGAATTGCCTCAAAGCGGCCGCCCAGCCCTCAGCTTCCGCTCACACTGTTTTGGGCTAGGAGCTGCATTTATTAAATTGACATCTCAGGCCGTTCCCTTACTTGGCTCCAAGGGAGGCTTCGGGGTTTCCAAAAAATCCAACAAACCCTGGCTTCCTCCTGGAAGGCTCCACGTGCAATCACGCGCCAGCATGCAGATTACTTGAAAGATTGTGCCGGAAAGTTCCGGTGCTGTTTCAAAAAGGAAATGCGTGACCGTTGCTATGTCTGAGTCCATTGTTCCCACTATTCTTTACACTATCCAACTTCCAGAGCACAATCCATGAAGGCCAGCTTTCTTTCTTCACCTTGTAACTTATTTTATTTCTTTTGTTGAGAGTATACACAGCAGAACACACACCAATTCAACCGTTTCGACATGTACAACTCAGTGACGCTGATGACATTCTCTGAGTTGTGCAACCATTCTCACCCTCCTTATCCGACTTGTTCCTCCCCCATTAGCATAAACTCACTGCCCCCTAAGCTTCCTATCTAAACTTTCCAGTTGCTATTATCAATTTGATCCCATATAGACAGTTCTGAATAAGGAAAACCAAAGAAGAACTGATGCCTTTGAATTGGGGTGTTGGTGAAGCATACTGAATATACCATGGACTGCAAGAAGAACGAACAGATGTGTCTCAGAAGAAGTATAGCTAGAATGCTCCTTAGAAGCAAGGATGATGAGACCACGTCTCACATACTTTGGACATGTTATCAGGAGGGACCAGTCCCTGGAGAAGGACATCATGCTTGGTAAAGTAGAACATCAGCGAAAAAGAGGAAGACCCTCAACAAGATGGAGTGACACAGTGGCTGCAACAGTGAGCTCAAGCCTAGCAATGATTGTGAGGATGGTGCAGGACCAGGCAGTGTTTTGTTCTGTTGTACACAGGGTCGCTATGAGTTGGAACCAAGCTGACACACCTAACAACAATAGATAGTTCTTAAAGGAGCCACAGACGCACAGTGGTTAAAGTGCTCAGCTGCTAACCAAAAGTTTGGTGGTTTGAACCCACCAGCCACTCCACAGGAGAAAGATGTGGCAGTCTGCTCCCATAAAGATTACAGCCTTGGAAACTCTATGGGGCAGCTCTACTCTGTCCTATAGGGTCACTATGAGTTGGAGTCGGGTTGACGGCATTGGGTTTTTTTTTTTTTTTAGATAGTTCTTAAAAGAGCATAATGCTCAAGGCAGACACTTTTTACTAGTTAAGCCAAACTATTATTTGGTTTTAAGATGACTTCAGGGCATATTTTTGATTTAAGGTTTAAAGATTATCTCAGGGCAATAATTCCAGGGGTTCATCCAGCCTCCATGTCTCCAGAAAGTCTGTGGAGTCTGTGAGAATTTGAAATTCTGTTCTACATTTCTCCCCCTTTTGATCAGCCATAAGGGGTAACTCTGTAACGAGCTACTCAAAAGCAGCTCATTTGGGAGGCGAGTGTGGGGCTGACTGCATTGGGAAGAAGAGACACCCTCCTGCATACGTCCCCTCTGGGACAAACACAGAGGGTGGCATTGACGGCGCGTGAATACAAGGTCACACTTATGCCCTGTCCTCAGCCACCTTTCATATGCTGCTAGGGCACACCTGGGGAAAAAGCATATCGGAAGGAAGAGCATCTTTTTTATTTTTAATATTGTCTTAGTTATACAGGGCTGCTGTAACAGAAATACCATAAGTGAGTGGCTTTAAAGAACAGAAACGGATTCTCTCACAGTTCAGGAGGCTAGAAGTCTGAATTCAAGGCGCCAGCTCTAGGGGAAGGTTCTCTCTGTCTGGCGGGTCTGGGGGAAGGTCCTTGTCTCTTCAGCTTCTGTTTCTTGGTTCCTTGGTGATCTTCATGTGGCATCTGTCTTCCCCCATCTGCTTGCTTGCTGCTTGCTAATTTGCCTTTTTATATGTCAAAAGAGAGATTGGCTTAGATCCAGCCTCCACACTAACACTGCCTCAGTAACATAACGAAGAAAACCCTATTTCCAAATACGATTATAAGATTATAATCACAGGTATCGCAGGATTTACAACACATATTTTTTAGGGGCACAATTCCACTCATAACAAATATTTTATTATATTTTTGGTGAAAACATACACAGCAAACACCCACTCCTGTTCCACAATTTGTACACGTAACCTTCAATGACACTGCTTACATTGTGTCAATGTGCTCATTATCTTCACTCTTGGTGTTTCACTGCCATTAATTCAGTCTCACCCCTGCTCTCAACCAACTTCTCATCTATGCCTTTTTTTTTTTTGTGCGTTAGGTGAAACAGCTGCTAACCAAAAGGTCAGCAGTTGGAATCCACCAGCCGCTCCTTGGAAACCCTATGGAACAGTTCTACTCTGTCTTATAGGGTCACTGTGAGTCAGAATCGACTTGATGGCAATGGGCTTGGCTTTTGGTTTTAGGTGAAAGTTTACAGCTCAAGTTGGTTTCTCATTCCAGAATTTATACACATAGTGTTTTGTGACATTACTTGCAATCCCCACAATGTGACAGCACTCTCCTCCTTTCCACCCCGGGTTCCCTGTGTCCATTCATCCAGTTCCTGTCCCTTCCTGCCTTCTCAACCTGCCTCCTGACAGGAGCCGCCCATTTGGTCTTGTGTTCATCTTTGCTTTAGAGTAGAAACAGTATCTTTTTAGTAATGAATTACTCGGGAGGCACAGGCAGTGTTTAGCTCGTTTTCACAACACCCTTTTCCTCCTTTTATGCACTGTTTATTCTCCCTCGAGCCAGGATTCCTGGGGTGCTGGTTGTGGATGTCTGAGAAGGTGGACACTCCCAGCCTCCTCTTCCTCTTATTATTGTTTCTGGTGCTGTTGAGTCGATTCCGACTCCTAGCGACCCCATGTGACAGAGGAGAACTGCCCCATACAGTTTCCTAGGCTGTCGTCTTTACCGGAGTACATCACCGGGTCTTTCTCCCTAGGAGCCACTGGGTGGGGTGGAATTGCTGACCTTTCGGTTAGCATCTGAGTGCTTAACCACTGAGCCACTGGTGCTCCTTGTCTTCCATTTCACCGGCCTCACGTGGGGAACAGACATCAGCGCAGCCCCCTCTCTACGCACACGCACATCTATTCCCTATGGCGTCTGAGAAATGTGATTTATACCGACCCAGAGGGACACAGAGCCAACGCGTGCAAGCCAGG